GAAGGTCTATTCACTCTGGCTATCCTGGTTCATAGTTCACTGTGTGGTTTGCAGCTGAATTTGGTGCAGATTACGCTGCAGCTGCAGCCCGCACAGCCCTCCTTCCAGATGTGCAGTGCTTTACCTTGCTCCCACCATCGGCCAAAGCCAGGGAGGTCCCTGGCCTTAATTTCACACTTTTTTTAGTACGAGAAGATAGTTTCCAGCAGAGGCTGGCAGCTTCCATCTCGCATCCGTCTGTTCCCATGGTTGGACAGAGTTTGCATCATGTAGATCGTATTGCAAAAATTTAGCTCTTTGTGGTCGTTCTTTGCTCCTTGTAACCTTTTATTTTCTTTTAGTTTAGGGATGCATTGGCCTAAGTAGCAAATAAGAGTTTTTTATGTACATTTTAATGCCATGTAGGCAGTTTTGAATTTGCAGTGCCTGTGGGATACAATTCCCTGATTATATAACCAGTGAAAATCCAGATCTGAGCTTCAAGAATTGGGTTTTCCCCGAAATGCTTCTTTGCTCTTTAGCAACATGAAACAGCTGAAGACTGCAGGGAGTCATGTGTGCATCTGTCCTTGTGTCACACCCTGAATTACTTGTGTTTGCTTAGCTGGGGGTTTGGAGGAGAGGGAGGATCAGGGCTGACCACCTCTGCTTGTTTTTCAGTCAAGATGTTGGTGCTTAGGTGGACACTGAAATAGAGAGAAGCCCTGTGGCAGCCTGCACCCTTCTTTGTGTCATTCATACCCTGCCTCTTCGCACCATCAGCACATCCAGTGGCGGGTCTCCATCTCAGCCATTTCCTTTCCTCACTTGCGCTTGGCATTAGAAGGACACCTGGCACAAGCTAGGGCTTTGTCTGCAGCCCTCATTCCAGGTCCCCAGAGTGTGAAGTGCTGACTCTTCCTTTGTTGGTGTTAATTGCTCCCATGTCATCTACATGGAAAATTCCCAGGATTCTTTCTGCTCTGTATTTAGACAGGATTTATTTTGGTCCAATCTGCTTTCCCTTTAACCGTGCCACCACGGTCTAGGGCCAAGTCCCTGTTGCTCCGTCTGCGCTCTGCACTGTAGCGGTGGCAGGCTGCCCCTGCGTGGTCTCGCCAGTGCCACTTACCTCACCAGTCCCTGTAATGCACAGCTTTTTAGTGTTTCACGGCTTGCCCAAAATACCTGCTGTCCATGCAGTCCTGTAATTCACTGTGCTGCATGGAAGGCAAGTCCTTCTTCTGCAGTCTGTGAACTGCTCTACTCTGCTGTGGCACATCCCTATGGGTCTGTGGTGTGGGAGTCCTGGCACTGGCAAGGCCAGCATCCCCATAATTTTGTGTGGCCTTGTGCTGGCTGGTCCCTGGTGGCAGCCTCTAGACATTGTGATGTATCCCCAGCAGCATGCAGGGCCAGGCCACCAAACCCTATTCCCACACACCAGCATCTGTCATGTGGGCGGAGTGCCCCACGGTGGTGTGTGTGGGACTGAAAAGACAGTCTTTTGTCACAGGGTAGTCCTTGTTCCTGCGAAGTGACTCTGATTTTCATAGTGGGAAGGTATGTGCCAGCTGTGGAATCCATCTTCTGTTGCCAAAATAATTGTGGCCTGGCATGGATAGCAGCCATGCCCCCGGAGAGCTGCCTCACTGTGGGGCAGTGGTCCATAGTGGCCTGCAGGACAGATAGCATTGATGGAATCATAGAACCATACAACCTCAGAATGGTTTGGGTTGGAAGGGACCTTCAAAGATCATCTAGTCCAGTGCCCCATCCCCCCACCACTCACTAGATCAGGTTGCTCAAAGCCCCATCCAACCTGGCCTTGATCACTTCCAGTGATGGGGCATAGACAACTTCTCTGGGCAGCCTGTTCAAGTGTCTCACCACCCTCATCATAAAATATTTCTTCCTTATGTGCAATCTAAATCTACCCTCTTTCAGTTTAAAACCATCACCCCTTGTGCTGTCACTACAGGCCCTGGTAAAAAGTCTTTTTCTATCTTTCTTATAAGTCCCCTTTACATATTAAAGGGCTACAACAAGGTGTCCCCAGATCCTTCTCTTTTCCAGGATGAATAATGCCAACTCTTTCAGCCTTTCTTCATAGGAGAGTTGTTCCAGCCCTCAGATCATTTTGGTGTCCCTCCTCTGGACCTGCTCTAACAGGTCCACATCTTTCATGTGCTGGAGACCCCAGAGCTGGATGCACTGCTCCAGGTAGGGTCTCACCAGAGCAGAGCAGAGGGGGACAATCCCCTCCCTCACTCTGCTGGCCACAGCATTGTGCCTGAGGGACAGGGAGGGAATAGCTTGATGTGCTTCACACCCATTTTGCTGCTGGCTGCTGGAACCAAGAAGGCAGGAGGAGCAACCAGCTCCTGGTAGGAGGGGTTGGAGGCAAGAGGATGCAATGAGAGCTTTGCACAGAGGGAAGGCAGAACTAGTGTTGCAGGGCTGCAATCATAGCAGCATGGTGCTGGGCATGCTCCTGGGCTGATGGAGTCCAGCTGTTCTGGGGCCTGAGACCCAGGAATGCTGGAGGGGCTGTGTGGGGGCCCTAGGCAAACAAGGCTGTTGGGAAGGGGCAGGTCCACCATGCTGCCCATGGCATTGAGACAGGCAGGGTAGATGCAGCATCACTCAAGAACGTGATTGATGAGAGTCCCTGGAAACTTCTTTTCAGCCTGTAATCTCCTGTAATCTGTATGAGGGGACAGGGCAGGTGCCTGCTGTGCCACATCTAATGCTGGTCTGTTGTTGATGTCACGTTCTTCTATCCACCTTCCTACTGCTGGCTTTTTCCATTTGTTTTCTCATGAATACTTTGGAATGTTCACAAACAAGTATCACTGAGAGCATTTTGACTTTTTTTGTACCCATTAGGTGATGTTATCCCATGTGTTACTTTTGAGCAGAGGACAGCTTCGTTTTATGAGTCTGAGCTCCTCTTATCCTTCCTGATCCTGAGTGTGAGCCAGTGCTCACGCACAGGCTCCTCCTTGAGGTGTTTTGCTTCTTACTGAAATGTCCAGTAACCTCCTGAAACATCCAAGAGCATCCACATCGTGAATGTTCACTGCTTATCAAACTATCCTCCCCTCAAATAAGCAAGTAGGAGGGACTGGGAATACACATTTTCCATTCAGATCCTCACCCCTTTTGCTGTTTTCACATACTTTTCCCACTGTGTTAGCTACAAAATTATGGAGAAATTGTCATTACGTTTCTGTTCCCCATATTTAAAGAAATGGATGCCTATATTAGCATTAGCCTATTCCTTATCAACTGATTTGGTAGTCTGTTGATATGGTGTACCCAGTATGGAAAGACTGAACTCATCTAGCAAAGGCAGGATGCTGGGTTGTGAGCAGTTAGAAGCATGGGTTTACCTGCAATATAAATGTGATTGGTTTTGACTGAGCTACAAGATGAGCATGTGAAGGGCTGATGGTAGGTTTAAGAGAGTTGAATTGTAGTAATTTTATTATTTTGCATGCCCTCCCACCAGAATTATTGAAACATCCATCCAAGTCATGAGAGGAATAACTAATACATGAGCTTAAGATGAATGGAAGCCCTAACCAAAGGATAAGAAAGCAAAGCAAAGGGCAGACCTAGGAGGGTGGGAAAGGCAGCATGTTCAGGGTATGGCCTTTGAAGCCAGCGTGTTTCAAAGCAGATACTGTACCTGGAAGTAAGGGTGATAAAACATGTCAGTGGCACTGGGAAGGCAGTATACCATGTACTGAGGAGTAGTGGACACAAGAAGGTTGTAGGAGAAGCCACACATAGAACCACTGAAGCTTAGTGGAAACTTCTTCTCCCTTCTCTATGTGGGTGTGCATGAGTGGTGGGCCTGGGCAAGTTTCCTTGTTGGAGAAGATCCTGGTGACTGAGGGAATGGGAGAGGTCTGGAAGCAGTCACAGCTGAGGCAGCTGTGTGTAAGTGGTGGGCTGTAAAGAGGAGAGCTGGCAGCATGGCAGAGCAACCAGAAATGCCATGAGGTTTTGGGGCCTGGGAGGTATTGTGGGAATGTGGTAATCTTCTCATGCAGTGGTCCACTGGAGGGTTGAGGTTGTACCATGTTCATTGCATGGCACTCTTCAGCTGGCATCTGCCATGAAATTGTATTAAAATGTAGCTTACAAAGCAACCAGGGCTTTCATAGTATTTCCTGTACCTGATAATTTAGTATTTTATTGTAACTCAGTTGTCTCTGTTATTGTTGTAGCCAAAACTGAATGAGACCCTGTTCCTTTTGACATTTTAATTATTACATTTTTAACAAAAGGTAGAATCGAGGTTTCTCATAAAGATGACATGCAAAGCATAAAGATGTTTTGGGCTGGTTCACCTCTCTGGATAACTTGCTCTTAGGTGTAAATCACCTATGTCTGGCTCAATATTGTTTTCTGTGGAAAACTTTTTGGATGTCTGAAGACCTTGTAACATCATAGTTGCCTTCAAGGGATGCCCCGAACCTTGTAAAAAAGAGCTGTTCCTAAAATGCATTGTTTTTAATAACTCCTGAGGTTTAGCAACCAGCAGATGGTTGGGAAGAAGAGTTCTGATAGACACTGCTAAACCTCAGTTCCCTGGGTTGGTGGATAGGAAGATGTTTATTCCAGTTCTTATGATTCCCTAGGGACAACTTCTCTGTAAAAACAGAGAAAGCAAGATTTGGTGTTAAAGAGATCCCAAAGTTAAACAAAACTAAATAAATAGACAGTAACAATTATTCAAGCTGCTTGTAAAAAAGGGAAAAAAAAAAAAAAGATTGGATTCTGCTGAATCACTGATCACCTTTTACACTATACCTCCATAAAATCAGTGTTTGATTCCTTAAGATGTTTCTCTGCTGGGGTTGGACGTCTGCCCTAGCCACAAGTTTGCCTCTAGAGCTGTGCCAGGCTCTGCCTGGCAGGATGAACTTAGAGTTTTTTCTAAGTTTGCAGATGCTTCTCATTCATTCCTGCATGGCACAGTGTTTGACTGGTCCTTCTTCTTGTTTCAGCCTGAAAGGATAGATCCCAGCGCATCCAGGCAAGGCTATGATGTCCGCTCAGATGTCTGGAGCTTGGGAATTACATTGGTAAGTGAGTGGGGTTTAAACGCTCTGCTTTGCAGTACTTCCCTGGTGGGTAGCCTTGGTATGCTTTGCAGCGTGATGGAGTTGGTTGGTGTCAAACACATGCTTGAAGCAAAGCCCAGCTCTGCTTCTGTGAAGTGTTTGCGTGTTGTGATTGAAGTGGGCACCCCTTGGCTCAGAAACAATATAAATACCTTCAAGGCAGAGTGGTCTCCTGAATCCCTGAGGACACATAGCTGCACCTATGTTTTGCAGAGAAAGAGATGTGAGCTGGGAAGAGGTGTTGGATCATAAATTAATGTTGTCTTCAAAATCTCAGATGAGAAGGGATGGTGGTGCAGAACAGAGCATCTAGCCTGTGTAAATAAGCCTCTCACAGCCCTGGCATCTGGTGTACTTAGGCTGTGCAGAAGACTTCAGTTAATCCTGGATACTGGTTGCTGATTCCTCTCTGGCTTAACCACAGCACTGCTGGGTGCACACACTGATAAACTGAAAAGACCTTCCCTTCTCAAGGTGGTGAAGTAGCAGAAAAAGCAGAAGCAATAAGTATGAACTAGTAGCTTCTGTCTTCCCCACTGGCATTTTAAAATGATCATTTTCGTTGTCCTGTAAGGAGCAGGGAGTTGAGCTTGATGATCCTTATGGGTCCCTTCCAACTTGAGATATTCTATGACTGTGTGATTCTCATTATCCATTTTCTCTAGTGGTTGTTAGGATGCTTGGGAAGGGAGTGGAGGATTTTACTCTCCTACTCTTGAACACCATATTAAGAGCGTTGGTTCATTTTATAGTCAGTGGAAGAGAAGACATTGTCAACATGAAAGCATGGCCTAGCCAGGTTAAATCTGGAGGTGCTCCTAATGCAGGCAGCAGAACTTACTGTTGGGTAAAACTTCCCCTCCTTTTCTCTCAGTGAGCTTCATATAGGGAATGGGGTGAAGGATCTCATAGAATCATAGAATCATTTAGGTTGGAAAAGACCTTTAAGATCATGCAGTCCAACCATTAACCTTAACATTACCAAGTCCATCACTAAACCAGTTAAGGGTAGAGTACCTATTTCATGTTTCCTGGCTTGGTGGCTGGATTATTTTTAGTGGAAGTAAAAACTAGGAATCATTAAGGTTGGAAAGGACCTTTAAGATCATCAGTCAAACCATCAACCCAACACCACCACGCCCACTAAACCATGTCCCAAAGTGCCACGTGTACCCATTTTTTCAACACTTCCAAGGATGGTGACTCCACCACCTCTCTGGGCAGCCTGTTCCAATGTTTGACTACCCTTTCCATGAAGAAATTTTTCCTAATATCCAATCTAAACCTCCCCTGATGGAGCTTGAGCCCATTTTCTCTCATCCTACCTCATCTTAGTCTTCCTTTTGGGGGGTTCAGGGTCCTTGCAGACATTTTCTTACCCTGATTAAACTTATCTTGTTTAACCTTCCTGGTGCTGTTGCTGTCTCTCTGCAGTATGAGCTGGCCACAGGGCGATTCCCTTACCCCAAATGGAACAGTGTGTTTGACCAGTTGACACAAGTAGTAAAAGGAGACCCACCACAGCTGAGTAACTCAGAGGAAAGGGAGTTCTCCCCAAGTTTCATCAACTTTGTCAACTTGTGGTAAGTGTTTCCCACTGAAAGCGCTTGGAGTTGGCTTGTTTTGTCATTGCTAGGTATTTGGCAAGGGTTGCATGCCAGGCATTTCCTAGCTTAGTTTCACATTCCTGTGCCAACGTGAGGGTGAGGACCTTTTGCATTTCACTGGTTTGGAGGTGATAGGAGTCTTGTCTGGGTGGGGGCTGAAGGGCAGACCTTTGGAAACTGCTCTTCAGGGAAGGGATGAGGAGAAAACCTCTGAGAGTCTGTGCTCAGGATGTCTGTGCATGATAAGACCCATGGTGTGACCAGGTAAGGGCCTGGCCTGTGCATCCTGTTCCTTAGTATGACAGTCTTGGGACAGACCTGCTGCTTACCCTTTCTTCTGCAGGCAGAAGGCTGAGACACCTGGCAGTATTGTCTCATGGTTGGGCAGAGGATCTGTACTGGTCCTGCCTTTTGCCTGGCAAGGCCAGGAGCCTTCACGCCCAGTTCTGCTCAGCACAGCGACTGTCAGGACCTGTAGCAGCTGGTTTGCTTGGTTGTTGGTTTCATGTCTTGTGTCAATCATATGTCAAGATCAAGACTAGAGATGGTTTTCTGTAGGGCAGGGCCTCTGCAGCACGGTGAGCCTTGGATGGAGAGTGTGCAGTGTGTGCGCAGGAGGGGCTTGGGGCAATCCATCTGCCTGTCGTGTGTGTGGTCCTGCTTAGGTTAACAGCTGATTGTGAATTTTCTGATGAAGTATTTTGCTATCAAAATGTGAAAGGTGGTCAACATAATTTCATTAACCTAATACTGAAGTACACAGGAGATCCATCAGTGTGACCTGCGTTTGTCTTCTGGGGCCTTCTGCCCTGGGCAGACCCAGGTGATGGACATCCCTAGCACAGGGGTGTCCATCTCAAAGCTCTGTGACACAGGAAGACTCAGCTCTGGACAATTTTAACTTTCAAGAGATTTTGTTTCAGGGATTTCCATCCACTGGAGATGTTTTTTGTGTTTGGATATTACTCTTTTTCAGAATTATGAATTATGGAGGCCAGGTGCCATTTTCCAGATGGCTGTAAGGAAGGCCTGGTTATTGTCTTTGGGCTGCAGAAAACAGAGCATCAAAACAGTTTGCTGCTCAAAAGAAGTTTCCATTTTTCAGTCAAAAATGGTGTAGTATTTGGTTAGAAAGTCAGAGTTGCTTTCCCCATGTACAGTATAAGCAATAGTTTGTTTCCCACATAGTTGTCTGTGGAGATGCCATATCACTGCAGACTTTGCAAAGCCGGGAGGGAGCTTACTGTCATGCCCTGTATGCATTGGTGAGTTTGGCTCCAGATCACCCAAAAGAGGAGCCTGCGTGGCATCTCTGCTAAACAGCAGCATCTTTGGCCCATGGGTCTGATTGGGTCAATTCGTATTTCCAGCCCATTTACCCTTCCCAGGGCCTGCTGCTCTGGATCAGCCATAATGCATAAAGCATGGGGCAGTTTTCAGTCTAATTCTGGTTTTTGTTTAATCTGGTTTTGTAGATAATCTGACTTCTGCATGGAATATTTATGATGTCTTCATAGCAACACTGTAATAAATATTTCTCTTCATAACCTTTAGTTAAGTGCAAACAGTAATCTTTGGTGTTACTGAGCAGGCAGGTGAGTCTCCAAAAGGCTGCGCTTTTAGGGGATAGCCTAAATCTCCTGGGCAGTACCCTACAAATGTGAATCTAATAATCTTCTATTTTTGTGCATTCAAGAGTCAGGAAAAATGTTGAAAGAGAGTCCTGCAGTGTTGCTGCGTGCTCGCTGTGATAGATCAGTGAGGAAAGGATATTTTCAGTATTGTTAAAAAGTTTCTGGGATTCTGGATTTTTTTTTTTTTTTTTTTTTTTTCTTTTCAATTTGCTTTGGATCCCAACAGCGCTGTGAATGCCTGGGTGGAACATTTTTCCCTTTCAGCCCACCTCCCTGTGTTAGATGCTTATCTGAAGTCACACTGCTCCTGGAACTGCTTACAGTGATTCAGCGTTCTGCTCCAGAGTTTGCAAAGTATCCAAGCTCTGTGTCTGGCTTTTGGGAGCCTTGTGCTGGCAGCTGCAGAGCTAGCGGTGCTTGCAGGCAGAGCTGAGAGCTCCTGAGGTCCGGTGTGCCTGGGAAGGAGATCAGATGCTCCTGCGAAGGAGCTGTACAGCACCTGGTGCTGCAAATGGCTGCTCCAGACATGTAGCTTCATGTTGAGCTGGAAGAGAAATTAATGATTTCTAGGACTGCTTTATGAAAGCATGCATGGAAATTTCAAAGCAAAACTCGGTCTGTGAACTGAAGTTCTGACTAGTTGCCTTAAAGGCATTGCAAGGAGCATATTCGAACCCCCAAACTTGCTGAGGTCAGAAAATTAATTCCTGTTGGGTAGCAAAAGCCTGAAGCAAGGATGTTTGTGCAGCAGCTGCAGGATTTCCTGCCCTCTCTGTCCCTGCACAGCTCTGGAGGCATGTCACAGGACAGAGCAGCACCGGTTCAGCGTGAGTTACCCTCTGCTTCTCCGAATAATTTGAGGTCACACTGTAGTAGTGCTGGAGCTTGAGAAAGGTCCATCCAGAGCCTGTGAGGATGGAAATGCAGCTGTTGGGAATTAGGCTTAACTCCCCTTGTTTAGGAAAGATGCTACATCTGCCCTTTCTCTTCCTAGTGGTGCAGCTCTGGCTCCCAGGGCAGGGGCTGATGGTGCTGCCCATCACCGAGCCCTGTCCCACAGCCGCATCCCTCTGCCTCTGGTCCCCATCGCCTCTTCTGTCCCCTGCCAGGTTCCCCCTGCTGTAGGGGTTTTGGTGGCCTTTGCTGCCACCTGCTGTCCCCCTTCTCTGCGCTGGGGCAGGGTGGCCGGCAGGTGGTAGAGGTGCCAGAGGAGCCCCGCAGGAGGGATCGATTTCCAGCCGGCCTCCCCGTCCCCCATCCACCTGTGGGCAGCCACATCACCTCTCCTGTCCCTTCCCAGCGGCTGTGGCCTGCTCAGCGCTGGATGTACCACTAGCGCTGGGGATGAGCTGGGAGGGTCCAGGAGCCCGGACCTGGCCATGCAGAGTGGTTTGGCTGTCTGCTGTCTGCTACGAGCCCAGCCCCTGACCGCTCATGCCAAGACAATGATGTGGTACCTGTGTTGCCCATCTGTGCCCTGGCAGGCAGCACTGGCTATCCTCTGCCTCTGAGCCCCACTCGCGATGGATGGAGGACAGGGTGGTTGCTGCTGCTCAGACCTTGCGGTTATGCTGCAGTCAAACCCATTTCCATATATGGAGGCAGCAGCAGTCGGGATGGCGATCTGCTTGCAGCTTCCTTGGGCTCTGTCACCAGCATGATTTGTTGGTGGCCATACTTGCTGTTCACCCATGTGGGGACGGAGGGAGGGAGTCCCTGTGGTCACTCACAGCACAAGGATGGTTCTTCCAGAAAACAAAAAGCAGTGAGTCCCACCACGACAGCAGTGGATTCAACATCATGTCCTGTAAAAATTTGCATTTAATGTCTGTTAACAATTTCCCCAATCCCACCTTCTCCTAATTCTCTTTCTGCTTTCTTTAGCCTTACAAAGGACGAGTCCAAAAGGCCAAAGTATAAAGAGCTTCTGGTGAGTGCAAAGCATGGCTGCCTGTTCTGGCTGTTGCGGCTCTGCCGGTCACACAGCAGGGCTGGGTCGCACATCTGAGATCTCTCCATGTCTTCTCGGGCCATCAAGGCAGGGTGTTCAGCTCCACATCCTGAGGAAGAGCACCACCTCCATGCCACTGTCTCTGGCCTGCAGTCATGGCGATGGCCGAGATCATTAGTGTCTGTACATAAACACAGGCGATAAGCATAGGGGGAAATGCCCCACTGCAGTGGATTAGTGATCCCTGAAGTGGGCAGGCTCAGGCAGAAGCGTGCTGGGTGTGCCATGTAAAATGCTGCCTTTGCTTGAGGTTCTGGTACCATGCAAGGAGCCCTGTTGAGTTGCTGGCCAGCTCTGTCACATGTAAATGCCTCCAACGCACAGGCCACACAACAAGGTTGGGAGTGCTCAGGCAAAAGTGAGACCTGAAAGAGTGTAGCTCTGGAGTAAGACACCAGCAGAGCCTGTCTGTGGTGGATGGTCCTAAAGGAGGGAATGCAGCGATGCTTTTGGGTTGGATAAGTCACACTTGGCAACCATGCACCTTCAAGGAGCTCTGGGCATCTGGAAGCCACCCCTCAGGGGATATGTGAAACCGTCCCCTGGGTCCCTGATGGTGGTGGTGTGATACAAAAGGAGTTTGCCTGGTGTCCTGGCCCAGAGAGTCACCGTGTCATTACTTTCCAGCTGCTCTGAGTTGGGTCTGGCCAGTATGGCCTCCTGGGCAGAGCAGAGGGTCAGGGTTCAAGAGAACTGGGTTTGGGTCCTGATCTCCTGTTTGACCTCTGCAAGTCATGTCTCCCTGTCACTCCTTTATCTCCATTGCTGACAAGGCTGAAGATGAAACCTCTCTTGAAAGTATTTCAGTACATGTCCATGCTACAAAGGAGCCAGGTGCTGCTAATACTGCACCCTTGCTGCCTCCTGCCCAGCAGTTCCTGACATTCCTGGAGTCCTGTCCCACCTCCATACTGCACATTTATGATACAGATTCCCTGTATGAAAAAGCCATGGGCCAGGCTATGTCCTGTTGTCCTACAGCCACTACCAAGCACTGTGTTCTTGCATCAGGCAAATCCATTAGCTAAGCTTTTACCTGGGGTAGCCAGCATGTGTCAGAAGGGAGAATGTAACCTTGTTGTTCCTTTATCTGATTCCAGAAACATCCCTTCATCCTGATGTATGAGGAACGCACTGTGGATGTTGCATGCTATGTTTGTAAAATCCTGGATCAAATGCCAGCAACTCCCAGCTCTCCAATGTACGTCGATTGATATTGCTGCTACATCAAACTCTAGAAAAAGGGCTGAGAGAAAACAAGCTGTAAAGAATTTTCATCACACATTGCAGTGTTTTTAATGCTCGCCCAGACACCATGTGCAATAATATTGGTGTTATTTCCATCCTGTCTGTATACTGTTGTCACATATAAAGTGCATCCCTGTAATACCTGATCACACAGTGTTAGTGTTGGTCAAAGAGAGACCTCATCTTGCTCTTTTGTGGACATATTCATGAAATGTGGAAATAAGTACATTTATTTGTTGACCGTGATTGGATAGCACCTAAAATTCATTTCTAGACTCAAAACTTGGAGACTTCTCAGCAGCTACTGGAAAGATTTTTCTCTCAAAACTCTTCCAATTGTTGTTTCAAGTAATAATAAAAAGCAACAAACAAAAGTTAGGCGTTGTCTGTCTGAACTTTAAGAGACTGCCTGGAGGGAGAAGAACTTGCTTAACCAACGAGATGCTTTGCCTTCTGGAACTAGAAAGGCAAAGGAGAATTTTATTCTTCACAAAGTGCAATAGATTTACTGCTATGAAATTCTGTTGCTTTACAGTTGCAGTGTACTTTCTGGGGACAGTGTGCTCAGCTGAACTTCCTGTTAAAGAGAGATCATGTTAAATATAGTGAATATGTCTTTACCAAAAATATGTTGAGTTGAAAGAGGCTAACATTAAACTATTCAGAGATGGGACATGATGTGTTCTTTCTCCTTTTACCAAGCCAGCCACTCTTCACTCTTAACTAGGTGTCCTGTAAATTGTTACCTGGTAAGATAAGACCTTTGACCTGAAGAATTATTAAACTACTCAATTGATTTTAACCTGCTTGTGACCTGATTTATAGCTGCACAGTGCTCACTGCTAGCTGGCTTTGCTTTGACTTCAACAAGTGCAGTTCATAAAGTCTGCAGCTGTTTTAATGAGCCACAAACAAATGTCTGTGATTTCTAGCCAGTGTTTCTCATGTTCTTCACTGGCCCCGGCCCTGATGCTAGTGCCATTTCACTGACCCTGAGACCAGCCCGGCAGTACTGCCACTGCCCAGACCAAACCTCAGCGCTTTCTTCTCACCACTGCAAGCAGGATGGTGGGGATGTCCCCACACTGCAATGGGGCTCTGTGCCTGCCCTGCTGCTGCAAATGTCATGCTCTGCTTAGCTTGCTGGAGACCTTCTTCACCACCTTCTGGGCATACTTAACCTCTTTTGTGACCCTCCATCGCTCTTGTTACTGCACTCTAGAGCGAACCTCACTGAGACTGTTTGGTACAGATAGAGATGAGGTGGAGATGAGGGAGTGTCTAATGCCTTAAGGGCTTTTAGCTGACCTAGCAAGGCCAGGCAAGCTGTCATCTTCTGGCCCACTGCTGAGCAAAAAAGTGCATCAGTTGTCTGTTTTTTTTAAATTAGCATATTTTTCAAAGATTAACTTTTCCGGAAAATACATTTTTTTTTCCCCCAAAACATGGCAGTTTTCAGGTGTTTAGTAGAATACCAGGTATAAAATGGAGGCTGCAGGGTCTCTGACTTCCATTTTGAGTTGTCTAGTTTAAGCACTTGGTAGCACTTCTTCACTGTTAGAGCAACCTACTGTCAAAGCTCTGTGGCAAAACTGGATCCAGGATGCAGAGAGCTAGAGACGCAATGGGAGTGAAAACACAGCAGTACTGGCAGGATTCCGAAGGAAGGGGCTTCCCACGTCAAACCAATGCTACCAAGTGCGCACTGGGCTGATGTGGGAGCACTGGAGACCAGCACATCCCTGCCCCAGCTGCTTGGTTGGGAAAGGAGAGAGCCGAGGCCGTGCTCATGTGGACACCTGGTGTTTCTTCAGCCACAGAGGTGCCACCCTTGCGTACGGCTTGCAGCACTTAGCATCTCCCACTTGGCTGTCAGAGCTGGTCCCTCTGGCACTGAGGCTGACACTGATGTGATCCCTTGGGGCGCAGTGTGCCTGGCGGGGCAAGGAGGTGCAGTCCTCCTGCCCTTCCTGAATTATGTTGCTCAAGGGCTGCTCATCGGGTGAGGCAGTCACTAAAGTCTTCCCAAAACAGACAAGGCAGAACTTTCTGAAGTAACTAGTCATTCCCAACAGCTCTGATTAATCACATGGAAGGATCAGTTGAACCGAGATACGTAGCGTATCTAAAGCAGTAATTCTCCCCCCAGCCCCATAGCCTCCGAAAAGTTGGCTTTTCTCAGGCTTGGCAAATTTCTGCAGCTGTGATTCATCTCGCCAGCCTTCAGCCACCCGTAACGAGCATGCCAGGTCTTGTGGGGTGCTGGCTGGGGGTCTAAAGAGACAGAGCCAGTAAGGATAGATGCATGCAGAGGTGCTTTGCCTCTGCCCCCACCTTTCAGACGTTAAAGTCTGATTCACATCTCCCCAGTGACAGGGAGCCCAAAAACCTTTCAGAGGGCTAACACTGCGATGGATCCTCCCAAAGATTGGTTTCCCTCCAACACAAATGACTGCCTTGCTCTGCACTTTCCACATGGCTGGGGTCCGTTCTCTGCTGCCAACCCCATCTGGAGCTCGTCTTTAGCAGCACAACCAGTTTGCTTTCAACAGATGGGAAATGGAAGCGCGATGCTTTGAGCTGCCAGTGACAAAGTCAGGGTTGAGGTGCTGTGGCATGGGTGACTGTACAGAAGGACAGGATTAGCGTACTAAACATAGATTATTATAAACTATTAATGGTGCACCATTTATTACAATGTATCTTTATTAAAAAAGAAAAAAAAAGGTGTATAGTGTTCAGAAGCTGTGAAAATAGTGTAAGAACTGTACATTGTGAACTCTGGTTTTTTTTTTTTTCTTGTACCATAGAAAAATGTATAAAAATTATCAAAAAGCTGATGTTCAGGGATGTTGCCTTATTGTCTGTAAAATGGAGCTCAAGAACGTAACTGCTTCAAAGAGCTTCAGAATATTTTATCCGGTATCCTGGTTTGACTTCCTCCTCTATTTAAGATACTATACATGGATAAGAGTGTTTATGTAATAGTTCTATCCTTTTGCCTGCAGGTCAGTTGTAATAAAACTAGGATGCAACTGTGACCTTGTTATTTTCATTTTGTAAGGTCAGACATGAATGGGAAGATTCATTAAAAGCTGTTGAAATACCTGGCTTCCAGGCCCTTCCTCCAGGTGGAAGCAGCTGTGCAGAAGAAAAGCAGCCTTCACAACTGCTTATGCTAAATTTAAAAAAAAAAAAAAAAAAAAAGAGGTGTAGGGACACCTGGATATATTTTCTTTCTCTGGAAGACTGCTGATCCCTCTGTGCTAATGGGGTGCCTCTCAGGTGAGCCCTGTTTGCTGCACAGGGAGGTTCTGGTGGCTCAGGACACCTCATCCGTGCAAAAAGGACAGATGGCCATGCCCATACTCTGGGGAAAGGGGGCAGCTGATGATCACAGCCTTGCAGGCTTTATTTTTGCAAGAGCAGCCAATGTCTGCAAAGTCCAGATGATCTAAGAGTACCAAGTCCTGGGTAATTCCTACTGCTAAGCCTCCTGGTGCTGGAACAAGTGTCTTTCCTGCCTGGAAGGCTTGAGACTGTCCAGGCAGGTGGGCTGAACTGGACCCCAGCAGCCTCACTGGGAAAGAAGACAGGGTTGAGGGAGAGGCACCAGCCATGAGTGTCTGTAGTGCTCAAACTGGCTTGATGGGACTGCCCCAGGAGCGCCCAATTCAGTGAAGGGGAGAGCAGGAGCACACTGGCAGGGGTCATTGATCATGCCACAGCTCAGGACCAGAAGTACTTATGAATGGGTGGAGTAACCTGGCATTGGCTGTCCCATTGCCTCTTTACGTGGAGGGTGAGAATTTTGTCAAGAGAAGGGAAGGCGGATAATGGAGCGGAAGACAGTCTTGCTGTGTTGAGATATATCTCAACAGTGTGAAAAGTTAGCGGTGGTTGAAGTCTGTCAGTTTGCATAAATTCAGTGTGTCCACCACATGAAGATTTTTCTGGACGGTTCCTGTTGGCAGCACAATACTTGGGATATTTTGGACCACCTGCTGTCCCCACTCTTCAGCCAGAATCCAAAATCCCTGATTTGGTGATCTCCCGGTAGAAGACAAAATCTGACCACACACCAGGGACAGTCCTTCCCCACTGGGCAGACGCTGGAGGATCCAGCTCCTCACCTTACAGCTCCTTTTTTCATGAATTGGAGCTGCTCTGGAATTCTGTTCTTTTTGCACTGGAACCTGCCTTTGCATCCTGAGATTTGTTCTTGAAGAAGCTGGCACAGCTGAAGGAGCTGAAAGAAGCTGGTGGCTGGATGTGAGTCCACCTGCACATCCCTTCACTGGGTATTCCCATGCTCTGCTCTCTTCTCTTTTCCCTTGTGACTGTGTAGCATGCAGAAGGGACTGTATTTGTGGCCATTTCAGTTCCTCTCAGTCATCCCCATTGAACTCATGGTCAGTTTTTCCTTCTGTGGACTCTTTTCCTTGCCCATTTGGACTTCACCACTGAGGGTGGTACAGGAAAACCTCTGACCACATCCCAGATGCTGCTAGTGTCTCAGACAGGACCCACACCTGCACAGTGCCACTGTTGCTGCTCCTTTGAGCCCTTGGACAATTCGAACAGTCCTTGCTTGAGTGAGGTATGATGGCTTTCTTCAACCCGGGGACTGGGAGTCCTCTATGGGCATCATGACCAGGTCCATATGGCTCAACTCAGGCTTATTCCTCTGTGCCACCACATGGGCTCTGAGGCTGCCCTGGTTTCTGTACTCAGTGCCAAGGCTAAGGAGCAGATGTTTGAGCCAGCCTCCAGGTACACTTTGAGCCACTGACCACTCCCTTTGTGCTCAGGGGTCCAGGCTGGCACCTCATACCAATTCCTCACACCTTTATGCCCACTTGCATGTCTGAGGCTCTTCTCAGATCTTCACCAAACATTATATAGCATCCAAAAAATCATACTGTGGTCTGTTATGATTATTATGTGTCTGTGGAACTCCAAGACCAGCTTTGAGGTTTGGATGAGTTCAAACACATCCCTGCCTTGACCCAAGCAGTATGAATGCAGATGTGCATCACCACCTATTCCTGTCAGGAGCACTTTGAGTTGTGTGGTCTGTATTTCCACTGATCTTCTGCTTGGCTTCCCCTAGCCTTCATCGCAGCCTCTTGTATCCTTTTGTGGCCAGTTAAGCATAAATGAAGTGCTCAGGCCTGGGTTAATACCATAGGTGTTGCTTAAGAAAAAAAGCTCCATTTTTTCACTTTGACTTCTGATACAAATCACAAGCGTGGTCATTGCCTTCAATATGTGAAGGGTCCAGGGAAAAAAGGAGTGGCTGCTCTGATGAGTAAGAAAAGAAAGCAGCTCTTGAATTTTTCCATTATGTTTAAAGCTGTGCAAATGCTTGGAGAACAGGATGAAGCGCAAACTCCCTCTTCTGGAGATACACAGTGCCACCATTGTATTGGGAATAAGATATCAGAGCAGGCTGGCTGGCTGGACCATGGGGTATCAGCCAGACAGTGTGTGACTGAAAGCCATTATCTTTGCATAAATTCCAAACGGAAGGGCTGGGCAGGCCCTACTGTGAGGAGAAAGCCTGCATCTCCAAGCACTTGCTACATCAAACGCAAATCTCTGCTCAGCTGCACCAGAAAAGCTGGGTGCAGGGATGTTACTCTGCAGGTGTAGCTGTGCTAACACTCCCAAAAGCACATGCAGGCTCAGAAAGTGGGAAGGGTGAAAGGGTTTGGTGTGTATAGGAAGGCCAACTACCTACACTAGAGAAGATGTGCTTACTTGCAAGGTTGTAGGTATTAAGTGTGTGGTATCTGTGTG